TCTTGAAGAAAGAAGAGTGAGGAAGGTAGAGAAAGATGAGTAGATGAACTAAAAATGGGAAAAGCTCAGCCAAACATTCTCCATTATTGGACCGGCTTGTTATCTTTTAGCCGTCTCGAGTCATTCCTCCTCATGTTTGGATTACCAAAAAAAATATTTTTATATTAATCTAAACAAATTTTTTCACATACTTATTTAATATGTTATAAAATTATTTTTAAAATTACGATTTAATTTTTATTCAATTCAAGGCTAGACACTCTTAATAGATTTCTCCGTTACTTCTTTCTAAAAGCAGATAGAGATTACTGAAAGAATGTGATACTAATATTCCCTTCGGTTCTTTTTATAAATTCAAATAACTAATTTATAGATAACAAATACTTAATTAAAAATAATAAATATATTAAAATATAATTTTTTTAAATATGTTCTTATAATAAATAAGAAAAAAAATGAGAGAGAATTTGTATGAAAATGTAATAAGAATAATATTTTTTCTAAATTTAAAACTCATATAAAATTGACGGGAATAGCAAGTGCTCGGACTTAGATCGACCATGCTTCGCGTCAAAAGTGCATGCATTATAAAATGAATGGTTGTGATTTTTTTGGCTTCTTATATGAACGAGATACAAAGCGTCATGTCATGTGTCAGTGTCACACGGCAATTGCATCCTGTCTCCCAAGTGCATACATCAATAATTATAAATGTAATATGAAGAGGAGGGAAGCGCCCACGCCCTCTGGTTCCTTTATTAATTACTCTTCCGATTCTAATTATAAAATCCAATTGACTTATTTAAAAAAATTAAGAAAGTAAATTAAATTAGTTATTTATAATAAATAAGTGTTGTTATTCCTAAAATATCCTTGCTAATTAAGTATATTGACTAAAACTATCATTATTAGAATGATTATCTTAGAAAAAAATGCATAAATATAAAAGAGAAAATGGATTGGATCTTATAATTAAGACCAAATAAAAAGTCAAATTGAGTCTTATAATAAGGACAGGAGGAGTATCATAATATTATGTATATAAAAATATATTATTTTTGTTGTTTAAACCTAGAATATTTTTAAATTTTATTTTTATAATTAAAATAGGGATATTTTTACAAGTTTTAAGGATATTAAATTATTTTAATTATCACCGGCCTGATCAACTCTAGTATAAACTATTGCTTTAACCAGTTCAGTGTCTAGTCTGATTTTTAGTTTCTTGATAATAGGTGACTTAATGGTCATAAGTTTTTTTTTGGTTAAGATATATCCAACACTTTGAAGTATTTTACTGGGTGCATCTAGTATTTTAAAATATTTTGTGATATATTCAGCATTTTGAAATATTTTTTTAAGTGTGTACAACACATTAAATTATTTTTTGGTGCATCCAATACTATAAATTATTTTTTTGGATGTGTTAAGTGCCCAATAATAATTTTTTGTGAATCAAGCACCAAGACAAAAAAATGCTTTAGGATAATAGATAAATCACAAAATACTATAAAGAAAATATTTCGGAGTATTAAATGCTGGTAAATTTTTTTTTTTTTTTGCATCAATAAGGTCAAGGGTTTAACTTCCACCAAAATCATTTTACCATGATCTACTTGTTGCCAACAGTGGTGGTTTAAGTGGCCAGTTGCGGGTTAGTGGTATGGGCTCCAGTGACAACGAGAAGGGAGAATTTTCTTTTTTTAAGGGAAAGACATTTTGGTTAATTTATACTAAATTTGTATACTTACATTTGAATTAAAGGACATCAGAATTTATAATAATTTGATGATTTCAAGAAATTCTTTTGACATTTATAATTGTTCTGTGGCATTTTCCTAAGTTTGAAACCATAGGGATCAAATTGAGAAATCTGGAAAGCCTTCAACAACGTCACAGACTTTAAACGATCCAGTTTAAATTCAAAAATTAATAAAATTAATGAAGCTAAATAATTTTTTTAAAAGTATTTGTATTTATTATTTTTCTTAAAACTAATTTATTTTACTTATAAATTGATATATAATCCAATAATACATATAAATATTTTAAAAAGATTATGTGATATATGCTATAATTAAATAATTTATAATTTTTTTAATTTAGTTATCTGCATTTTATATTAAAAAAGTTGCCTAAAAAAATCAAATCATAATTTTAAAATATACAAAATAAATATTGTGAGAAAAAATTTTCTATGAAAACACGTGCCCCAGAAAGATGAGGCAGTATAATACTGGCCACTGGGAGGCACGTGGAGGTGACCAAAAACTATTCAGTTTTACGTTTTTTTTTTTTTTTTTTCCGGTGACATATTCAGTTTTAAGTTTTTCACATTCGTTGTTGACTCTGATGACTAAACATATTTCGTTACGTCAGCTATGTGACATCACTACAGTTAACAGGCAGTGATTTCCTGTTCGATGGGGAAAGCTTTGCCACATCATCACGTGTTGCACGTTGAAGAGTGTGTGCTTGATGGAGGATAAGGTTTATTTATCATCTGCATTTTACAACAAAAGAATTTCATTTAGCCCCTTAAAAACTTCATTTCAAAATAAGTTATTTATAGGTAAAACATGAGAATTTACAATTAAGATAAGGTGATTCACAGGAAGAATAAGATCATTCATAACTAGAGTAATATTTTTTTCCTCCCACAAAATTTAATTTTATCTAATATTAGTCTTTGGGTTGCAATAAAATTTTAGATTTTTGTAGGGGAAATGAAAATTATGTACCTACGGATGAGGCTAATTGAAATTTTCCCTTTTATGAAATACTCTCTTTCTCTGATTTTTTTTTTATCCGACACAAACATAATAAATAAGGTGAAAAAGCATTAACACCCCAATTTTATTTTTAAGATGTACTCAGTGCTCTAATTTTTTAGTAGTGCAATTTTACTCAATTTTTTAAAATTTAGTGCAATCTTACCACTTCTTTATTTATTTAAAATCACTATTTTCCTGTTATTCATCTTAACAGTTAAAATTAACAATTGTGTTTTTTTATCAAATTATTAAAAACTTTCATATAAAGGAACCACCAAATAAAATCACATTAAAAAACTTAAAAATGAGTAGACAACATCAAATCTAATATATTATGGGTAAAATTGCACCACTAAAAATATTAAGATGCTGGATGCATCTAAGAAAGTTAGATGTATCTTTAGCCTAATCAATTAGTAAATTCATAGCTAAATCATGATGAAATTGACAATTGTGTTTACATGACTGAAAAATGTACTTTCAGAAAATTAACTTCTATATTTGTTACAAATAATTAACTTAACTAATTTTTTTAATACACTCAATTAGTTAAGTATAGCTCTAGTTAAGAGTTGTTATACAAATTTAACACTTGTATATCTTCTTCAGGTTTGGTTAGTGACTTGTGATTATATGATGTGTTTATAATAAACTACACAAAAGTCTCTTATACTTTTGAGCTGTATGGGACTAGCTCATCCGATCGTGCTTAATTATTACTAGAACATTGTCTTTATTATGCATAATATTAAACATCATCACTAACTTAGTTTTAATAATCGATCAGATCATAGACTAAATAACTATATCTTCATATATACTTTGTCTGAACCTAATAAAATCATCTTCATTAGATTCATGTGTTCCTTGTTAAATAATAAAATAATACTATAATAATAGTAGTAGTAGTAGAAATAATAATAATAATACAAACCATATCAAGATTTTTTTTGGACTCAAATATCAAGATTTAGATAAGAAGGATCTGGATGACACATTGTTTCATGTACGGTAGGGTAGTTTCATTTGTTCACACTATTCTGACAATCTATAACTTTTGATCACCAAACGCATTCATCCACATAATGAATCATAAATACAACGTGATGCACGTTGAAGCGCGTACACACACACAAATGTATATTACGTGAGATTTATATACCTAAGTTGGGGAAAAAAAGAGATTTATATACCTATGGTGCTTTTACTTCTCTCACACTCTTATTTTTAAAGCACAAAATTATTTAAAATAAGATAATTAAAATAGAGAAAAAGACATAAGAAAATGCTGAGAAATTGTTGAATCACATGTACCTGAATTTAACAAATTCTTATAAGTCAACAAATTCCAAAATGAGATTTTGAAATTCAAGAAAAAAACATAAATACCTCCATTTATTTTATAACAATAAAGGTCAAGAACCCTCTCACTAGCAGGCGTTGGAGCTCCAACGGTGGCTACCAGTTTGCTTGTGGCTGGCGGGAAGGTGCTTTTTTTTTTTTGGGGAAAGTGGTGAAAGTAAGATTTTACTCTTGGTGCCATATATATATGGTGATCATTGAACCAACAATGACTTGCGATTAAAGTAATGCAAAAAGATATATAAGCTAACTACTTAACTTTATCTACAAGTCATTTTTGTATAAAGCTTTGATGTGCATTTTTAGTTCGAATTCAGTAAAATAGAATGAAAATTTGTTAATAGCATCTCAACTTTAGGAATTAGACATATGCAGAAAACATGGTTAATTCCTATTTTTCCAAGTGCTTAGGTTAAAATTGCTACTTGTTAATTTCTATTTTGAAATTAATAAAATGAATTAAAAATGCGTAATTACCGTCTAAAATTTAAGAAAAAAGGGAAAAGAAATCATGTCTTGTTAAAATAATTTAACTTTGTCTGTTTCATGACAATTGATTGATTAAACTACTTCTTTGTCAGTATCCAAATATAGTCAAGCTTAGGGTCCACTACGTGTCCCTAAAATCTGAGGTCCTAATTATTTTTTTCATTGTGTGAACACTACGTGGTAATATTCCACAGTAACAAAATTATTTCTCAAACACCATGATTATATCATCACGTGTTTTCTTATCCTCCCTGCTCTTGTCCCGTTATGGATACCATAGGCCTATAAATACAGTACTGCAAAGGGCGTGGTAATCACACAAAAAGACATCGATCACTTGCTATTTGCTAATTCACTCACAAAACCTCAAGCAGAATGGCCTCGTCAAGCACTCCGGTGAGAAGGATGATGAAGTCGGATTCAAACGTGAAGCCATTGACCCTGGATGATAACCAGGTCTTGGGATTGGTTCACGATTGCTATGTCGTGAACGAACATGGTGAAACCTTTGATTCAGAGGCTCTTTTCAGTGTTGTTTCTGATGTTATTATTCGTTCACTTCGCACTTGTGATCCCAGCATAAAGGTAATTACAATTTTCGTGTTTTGCTCTCTTTTTGTGTGTGTGGGGATGACGAACACTGCATCAACTTACAATAATATAATTCCACGTGAATTAAAAATTAGTTAATTTAGTTATTCATAATAAATATGTGTTTCTTTTAAAATACTTCTACTAATAATGCCTATTGTTTTGTTACAGTATCATCCACTAACGGAGGTCGACAAGACTTCCCTTTCCAATCTGGAGCCACCGATATATTTACTCAAGGATTTTGCTTGTCAGGTTAATGACTCACAAAATGTTTCATTTCGTTAATTTCTGTTTCTGCAATATTGTTTTTCTTTTATAAAATAATTTTTCTCCCTTTAAAACGAAGACGCGATGCCAAATTAATAACCAAGTGGTGGCCCTTTATTTCTCGTAAATCTCCCGCGTGTGTATTCAAAGTGGTGGGAGAAAATTGCAACTCGGAGTGCGGGGCCGGGAAGAAAGTTTTCAAATTTTTATTAAGGTTAACACCGTCTTTAATTCTTAAAATCTAATCTCATGGTCCATGGAATTTAGAAACCAGTGATTTTGATCCCAAAAATTTGACTTCACTTTGGTCAACTTAAAAATTTTTTGTCCACTTTTTTTCAGAAACCAGAATCACTGGTTTCAAATTTTAGAAATATAAACCTAAATAAAGTCAAATTTTAAAAATTAAAGATGATATTAACCACATTTTTTAATATTTTCTAGGTGTGATATGCACACTTTGTGATATACTCCTCTGATCCTTAATACAGGATATATTAACAAATTTGATTAGTTGATTATAATAAATATAACATTTTTCCCACTAAATATCCTCATTTTTTATGGTCTTTGATTTCAACTATTCTAAAATGATAAATATGAAAAATAGATTTTAGGATCAACACGTACTAATTTTTCAATTAGTTCTTACATTTAGCTAGGTCATCAAAGGAGTATATATATGCTTTTCAATCTTGATTATGCATAACTGCTGGAGCCCCCTTAGTTCTAATTATGATTATTAAAGTCACTAATAAGTATTTCGCATTATGATGACAACAGATGAGGAAGACAAAATGGCATGCACACCACACAAACGAGCATGAAACAACAATGTCGATACTAAGAACTCTGGACTCATATTCGTGGTGTGCAAAAGCAGTGACAGCACTGGCAGCTTTTGCTTTGGAATATGGCATTTTCTGGCACCTTTATGATCAGAAGATTCTTTATCAAGGACAAGACAGCATCGGAAATTCATTGGCTGTCTTAAGCAGTGTTCATGCCGTTGACCCAAGCGACCTCTCCCACTACAACCTTGTGGTGAAGCATGTTTCAGAGACCGTTGATTATATTGTTGCGTTGGAGAAAATGTCAAAGCAAGGCTATGACGTTAGGGACATTCGAACTTTGGAAGAAGCCATCCAAAACTTTCCTGTTTTCGTTTACTGGATCGTCCTCACCATTGTTAGTTTGGCTGCTCACATGGATATTCTCTTGGGTTATACGTAAGTTATTTGATCTTTTCTGTTCAAATCCTCGTGCCATCGAACTCTTTAATTATAAGGGTTAATATGCTATCTTTGGTTCTTGAAATTTGATCCCGTTTTGTTTTTGGTTCTTAGAATTTGAAATCACTGATTTTTTTACTACATTTTAGTCTGCCTAAAGCCTTTTAGGTTTCACTAATAAGTTGTTGGTTGAGATGGTAAGTGATTTCACCTCACAAGAAAGAGAACACAAGTTTGAATTTTGAGAAGTACAGTTGTTGGGAGAACTATGACTTTAACGTTTACGGTCCGACAAAGATTATTCTCAAATTCAAAATAACTTGGGATACTTCGAGTTTCTGAAAGAAAAAGAGAAGAAGAGATTTTTAGGTTTTAGGGACTTAAAGCATTGGCTTCAAATTTCAAGGAGAGCTAAAACCAAAATGACGTCAAACTTCACAAACTAAAAATAATATTAACCCTAATTATAATTATTATGCGGCAACCTTTTTCTAGTCAAACGTTCAAAAGGAAAGTCAATAAGCCTTGAATAGTTTTTCTTGTTCTTCTGGTTGTGTTTTTTTTTTTAAAAAAATATTCTTAGTGGGCATCACACTTTATACTATGGATTCAGGAGCAGCTATAAGTTATCCGACATTGGCAACAAGATTTCCAAGATTTCCGACATGCTAAGCCGTTATCTAGCCCAGATAAAGAGAGAGATAGGTCAGAAGCTTAATCAGTTTACTACAGTGACATGCATATTAATTCATTTCTATCTATATATTTTTGTGACAAAAACTAATTGACATTGATCTATATATAAAAACTGAATTAATAATATTCTGTTTCTATTGCAGAATTCATAAAAGAATATCAATTCCGCTATAGGATAGTGTTTCAAACTCCCAGAGAAATCTTACAGGTCTTGAAGTATCTGCTTTTCCCCAGAGATGTGAACGATCCACATGTCTATGATGGCTACACTGGATCAATGGTTTGTATATATTGAAGCATTCAGTTTTGTAATTTTTAAAGTTAAGGAATGATAAGTAGTGATTTTTCAAAAAGTTAAAAAAAAAAATCTAATAATTAAGTTCTCTCGATCTTGTGGACTTGTGTTTTGCACACAACAAAACAAACAGGTGAGCTTCAAGGTGTTCAGGCAGAAGCACGTGGTCTTGTTCCTTTCTGGGTTGTACAGCATAGGAGATGAGATTCGTCTGTTAAAATCCATCCAGGAAGGACTGAAGAAAGATCCAAAAGTGATAAAAGGATTCAGAAAAGAAGACTTCAAGATCCTGTGGGTCCCAATAGTTGATGACGACGACCAAGTGGGAGACAATACAAAGAAGAGGAAACAACTGTTCGAAGACTTAAAGAGACAAATGGAGTGGTACGTGGTGGACTACTCCATTATTCCTGCAGTGTGCAAGAACCTTGTCAGAGACAGATTCAAGTACCAGAATAAGCCTATGATTCCTGTGTTTAATCCTCAAGGTGATGTCACTAATGACAATGCCTCGCACATGTTGTTCTCTTGGGATATCCAAGCTTTCCCTTGGGGCATAAACGATGATGAGCATCTTATCACGAAATGGAACTGGTTTTGGAGCCAAATGAAGGGACTCAGTCAAGAAATAGAGACTGGGGTACGTATACACACGCGCGCATGATTTCCCATGACTTCAAATGCTCTTCCTTCTTAATTACTTGGGATCTTCTCACATCATATGTCTGTGCCTGACAGTGTCTACACACACAGTATCTCCAGGTCCTTGATATGAGAGTTTGAGAACTAATTTACGAATATTAAAAAAATTAATTAACTTTTTTATTTGTAATAAATGTGTTTTATTTTCTCTAAAATAAATTCATTAATCATATGTATTGGATTAACACATGCAATATCAATATGAGGATTACACGAGGGTAAAATGAATAAATATGGAAACAAAATAAGTTGGGGTGTTATATTTATGAATGAATTGAATTCACAAATAGCTGTTATATTACGGACTAGAGATAGCATATGTATATCTTGAGAGAGAGCTGAAGCAGAAACGAGCATAACAAAATAAGCAGGCAAGGCACTGTTTGTGAGTTCCATCGTGTCAAGATATTTCTTGTGCATATGTACAATATTAAGATAAACCCTTTATTTGTGCATGTGAATTCAGAGAAAGGCAGAAGCTTACATTGTCATCTATGGACGCACTGACGTCGACTACTGCGACAACCAGTGGCTGCTGAGGATCCCGGCGGAATTGGAGAAAGTGAAGAGGGACGAGATAACAAAAAGATCAGATGTGGTCATAACTTACTATCACCATGGCAAAGAGGAGGATGACCTGAAAATCGTTAATGGCTTCTGGGCTAACGTGGAGAACTTATTCTACAGCATGACGAGGAAGAAAACCAAAGACCCTTCCTTCGAAGATGTTAGGAACTTCCTCGGACTCCGACAAGAACAAACCGGTTGGGTTCTTGTTAGCAAAGGTGAAAACGTTAAGCTGCTTTGTCGTGGTGATACATTTTATCAGACACTCAAAGAGTTTGATGCCTGGAAACTCAACATTGAAAAAGATCCTGGCTTTGATGTGTCCTTTAACAGACACTATCGCAATGTTTTATCCAAGCTTCCCCCTCCTGCAAATTGTCTTCGTTTGGACGTCAAGAACCATGCCGGTGATATCTCCTCTCCAATCTATTGTATGTGTGGTCGTCCCATGAACATTAAGTTAGTTAGATATGTGTGCTGCCATGAATACAAGGAGGAACCTGTGAATGCCAGAGCCAGCGATGTTAAGGGAAGTTAGAGAGAGATAAGAATGGAAAAAAGGAGAATTACATGCTATAATGTCCCCGACGAAAGAAAATAATTACTAAAAAGTCCCAACAATTGAGAAGTTGTTGTCAGTCTGTACACTAAAACTTGTTATTAGATGCTGCTATATTGTCGTTGAGATTTTTTAGTTATTATATTCCTTCCTTAGGACTTTATAGCAGTTCTCCGAAGTACATAGGTCCTATACTTTTGTGGATGAGAGTCTCATAAAAGTAGGGAACTTTTGGACAGTTATGGTTCCAGTTTGCTGTGATGGTTGAAGTAATTAGTGTGTTACTTTATTTGGTGGATTTTGTGGCGGACGAATGTGTTGGTGTGCTTTTAGCCTCTTTGCGTTGTTTCCCTTTCATGAGATTTAGAATAAATGGCTTGTAATTCGTCTGCTGTTCATTATAATGTAGAAGTTTATTTTGATTCAGTCATCGATATAATAAAACAAGTTTCTTTTAACTTTGCTCTTGTTTTTGAATGTTGTTTAAATTTACTTTTTTAAAGGTAATTTTAAATTTATTTATTTTTGTTTGTGTTAATTACTACTCTTACTCCATTTTCTTCCTCCTCCATAATATTATAACATTTGAAATTGTCTCTTCAAATACAATTTAGTAAATATGTCAGTAACGTAACTGGTCTTTGGGAAGAAACATTGGAAATCTGCAGCCTTTAGCAGCAACTCTTTCACGAACAAAATGGTAATCCAATTCTATGTGCTTTGTTCTAGCATGCATAACTGGATTGGCAGCTAGATATGTTGCTCCAAGACTATCACAGCAAAGTGTAGGAGGACTAGGAAGAACTATGACGACTCAAATTCGTGGTGTGCAAAAGCAGTGACGGCATTTATTTACTACTGTGTCTTGTCTTTAAAGCCTATTTAATTATCATAGAAGTGCCACAAATTGCCATATTCCAAAGCAAAAGCAGTTAAGGGCCCGTTTAGCACAGTGAAAATAAATTCTAGCCAGATTTATAGGATCATGAAGAGCTAAGGAGAGGCTCACTAAGTATATTTGAACAGTTTAATGACAAGATCACTTTTAGCGAAAAACCAGACATCTAAAAGTCAAATTGTCTTTTTGTTTACAAAATGTTTGTCTCGTCCTTTTCCCCAGTAAGTTTCCTTCCATTTGTGTGAAAAACCATTGAAATGCACTTGTCGTTGTTTAGCAAACCAAATTAACGGGACTACACTTTATATAGGAGCATAGAGGCGGCCTAGGTCATATTCACTTTATAGAGTCCAGCCTAATTAAATTCCAGGGTACGGTGCAGATAAATCTTTGAGTTCTCATTTTCTCTATCCCTCGTCTCTTTATTTTTACAATACTTTTAGTTCATGTTTAATTTTATGTTAAAAATGAACTTGAAATTAAAATGGTGCTTACATAACACTCAGACCTTCAACTTGGAAACATATTTCAGTCTTCCCAAATAAACAAGTCACTTTAAGTGCAGATATGATAGATTGTTGTAAATACCTTTCATCTTTATTATAAGAGTTAAATAAGAAATTTATTTTGGTCCTAAATATAAATCCTTAATTCATTTTATTTTTTAATTTAATAACTTTTTTTTCCCTTCAAAGTACCCCTATTGATTGCATATGTCAAAGTTAGGAGTAGAAGTAAGTTAGAACCCTATTAGGAGCCTACGGCCTAAACTTAGGTTAGCCTAACCTATTTGGCAAATATATCAACCTCATATTTAGGCCTATTTTCAAGCCTATTTAGGCAAATAGGCTAGGCATATTTTCATAAGGCCTAGCCTATTTAGTTTTTTTTAATTTGTGTTATTATATATTATATAATATAAATCTTTTACAAATTATTTATAAAATTACAAACTTTGGTTTGACCCTAAGATCAACCCTTTTTCATTCATTAGTCATTCACTTCTACCTCTCACTACAAAAAAAAAGTGTTTTGTAGCAGTTATTTTGCAACGGTTATAAATAACCGCTACTAATTCTAGAATTTGTAGCGGTTAAACAAAACCGCTACAAATATACAATAGTTTGACTCAAAAATTTAAGTTTGCAGCGGTTAATAGTGCGTTAGCCGCGGTTATAATAAAACTGCCACAAAATAATGGCACTAAAATTTGGCACCACATGGTGGGCACATTTGCAACGATATTTAGCAGCGATTTGGAGGTAAAAACTGCTGGGAAAATTATTGGGTTCAAATTTGTAAGAACCACTGCAAAATGGCCGCATATTTTGCAGCGACTCTAATAGAATTGCTTATGCCAGTTTGCAGCGGTTTATGCAGAGGTTCTGACAAGCTACTGCAAAATCTTCAAATTTTGCAGTGAGTTTTGCAATGGTTCGACAGAACCGCTGCATAACCGTTGTAAATGTTGTAGTAGTTCATAGACTGTGGCAGAAACTGCGGCAAAGGAGCCTCTTTTGGGAGGCTCTTTATATATTTGTAAGTCCTTGGTTTTTTTTTGTTTTTTTGCGTTAGTACTTACCTTGACAAGTTTTAAGGGGAGTCTCACTCTGAAGATCTTTTTCCAAGTTAGCATTTTAAGTAAAAGCTGATTAAAATTTTGTATATAAATTTATTTAATTAAGAATGCATTTTATGTTGTTGTTTAGAAATTATTTGTCTGCATTTGAATATGTTTATTTATTTATCTTTGTATTTTTGACTATCATTGCATAATTAATTTGTTTTTATTTTTGTGTAGTTATAGATTATAAATGTAGTGAATATATGAATTGAATTGGTTAAATTAATTGTTGATGTAATATTAATTGTAATTAATTATTATATATATATATATAAAGATTGTTACGTGCGCTTTAAGAACTGAACATATAAACCTTTTTAGTAAATGTTATAATTTATTTATTATTTTTTATTACTGTAGACATTTGTTTTTATATGTTAATGTGATAATTTATATATTTATTTTATAAACATTTAATTATTTCAATATTGATTTAAATAATTGTTTAACATTAACTATTTATAAATAATTTGAGTTTGTTGTACTTTACATATTGATTTGTACTCATAATAATTATTCATATAAAATTTATAAAAATGTATTTGTTACATAATTATTTAATAATTTGGATTATGTAATTAATTGATTAAATTGGATATTAATTAAATTGTAATTCCGTATTTTTTTAAATATATAGTTATAATTATGTCTTAACGTCATGGGAAGGCACTTATGGAATATTCAAAGCTGCCTCGTCGAGGTCGAGGTCGAGGTCGAGCTCATGATGAGGGCCCTTCGTCACCCCGCATGCTGACGATGACGAGCAAGCATAGATATTAATTTAGATTTAGGTGATTTTGATGTGGAGATGATACGACAAGTGGAGAGTTTTATTGATGAAGATGTGGAGAGGGACTGAAATATCCCTCGTCATTCTGCTGCACAGCGGAGGGGATTTCACATTCGGATTATGCATATGTCAAATTTATTATATTTTTAATAATTATTTAATTATTTAATGTAATTGTTGTCTTTAACTTTACAGACCCTGAAGGACATATATATGAAGCCACATTGGTCATGAGACAAGTGTATGTGTTGGATCCAGACCATCGAATACCTGTAGAGTGGGACGAAAGGATGGACCAGCCAATTGGTGCTGGTGGCACTGTTTTTAACAGATACCTTGCTGACTTGGGGCACAATTATGTTAATTTTCCCATATATTATGAGAACTGGCATAAAGATGGAAACGAATAGGAAGAACTTGATTTGGACTGACATTGTAAAGGTAAATAATGTGACTGCAAGTATTATTTATCATGTTCAAATATTATATTTAATTTAAAAGTAAATATAAATTTTGTTGTATTTTGATGGTATAGAAAAGATTTGTTGTGATGGATGACCGTAAGAATTATGCCCTTCAAAAAATGGGGGATGCGTGGAAGAATGCGAGAGGACGGCTGTATACTGATAGAAATGCGGATGGGACCAGACCAATAGATGAAGTGATGAGAGATGTGCCGAAAAACATCCCGGCTGAGGATTAGGCAAGATTTGTATACTTTAGGAGCTCACCTGAGCAGATGGTAATCTTATTTTTTATTTTTTGTATTAATTTGTATGAAATTACAAGTAATTATTTTAGTTATTTTGCATGCGAGATATAGGCAGTTTCTCGAAGAAACAGGATGAGCCGGGCGTGCCAGATGATCCTTCATACTAATGGATCGAAGACTTTCACTGTGATCATGAGTGAGATGGTGCATACATAATATAGTTAATATAATTATATATTGTTTGAACAATTAATTATTGTACTATAATTATAGAATTTTTGTTTGTGTTGCTATGTAGGAAGCATGAGCCAGAAGGGAAGGGAGGCAGGTCGATTTTGGTGATTGGTATATTGAAACTCACAGGCGTAAGGATGGCACTCCCAGCTCGCAAGATGCTGAGAATGTTATTGTAACTATTAGATTACATTTTCTTATTATTATGTATGATCTTTGAATTCAATATTTTAACTACTAATGTATTTTATATAACTTAGTAGGGTAAAATTAAGCATTACTAGACTGAACATCACGAGTTATAAGGCTCAGTGGATGTAACGGCTTCCCTCAAGGCGGCTCTAAATCAACCCAAGCATCCTGGTTAAGTCCACGGCCTTGGTTTTGGTGCAGAGGTGAGGCTTCATCATCCCAGTCCCTATCAATGACATCACGAGGGGTGGGCGTAAATACCCCTATTTAGAACTGTAGTAGCTAAGAGAGGAGCTGAGAGAAGAGCTTAAGGAGGAGGTCTGCCAGGAGATACAGGAAGAAATGGAGGTGGTTGCATCCAAAATATTTCAGAAGATGTTTAGTACATATAACCCTGGCGGCCCTATGCAAGACATGTAGATGCCTTATATGAATATTCCTTTTGATCTTGCACGTTGTCCTCCATTTAATGTTGACTAGGCCAGACAATGTGCAAGTCAATAGGAATGTGATGATGATGACAATGATG